GCATGCATGCACATCTATATATCTGCCTATGTTTGCATATCTTTAACTACATATATATTTTGCTCACTTACTTGCTTACTTACTTACTTACTTATTACTTCTTATATCTACAGATAACAATATATAATTACATATAATCACATATAATTCATACATATCTGTACACAAGTGGTTTCTTGAGTCTGACCGAATTGCCACGCCTGGACAACTCCTCAGCTTCAGTGGCGTCCTCCAGCCACCTGGGCAGTACCTGGGAGGATTTAACAACTGAGTGACGTTACAGGCACCAAATCTATACAGCCCTAAACCCTAAACCCCAAACCATAAGAATACAAACAACAAGTGCACGGTTTAGGGTTCAGGTCTTGGGGCCTAAGGGCCAGGGTTGGCAGGCCTTGGATACTTCTCAAAATGACTTCAATATAATCCTCAAGGGGTGGGCGCAATACTTCCTCAGAAACCCGATATACCCCTAGCCTAGGGGAACTGATTTTTGATAACACCCCAAAGAACCAGGGGCACTTTGTTTTGTAAATACCCGCCCGCCTGACATCTTACCTGACCCTAAGCCCTAAACCCTGAACCCTAAACCCTGAACCCTAAACCCTAAACCTTAAACCCCAAAACCAGGCGGACACTGCATAGGCAGGGTGAGGCGCACGTAGCCGATGCCACTGGGATGCTGCGCATCCTTGTGACTCGTGGAGTTGTCCGGGAGTCGGGAATGAAGGAGCGGCAAACAAACATTGAAAACCTAAACCTCCCACAATATACATATATATATATACTGACATTCCCTTATTCCTCTAAACACTCTACACATATATATATATATCTATATATTTTTCTCATATTCCCTTGTTTACCAATAACTGATTAGTGGAAAGGTGTAGGGGCCACATACACATGGGTCCCAGAGTTGTCTCCTACGAAGAGTTGGGTTCGCCCTCTTAGTCGCAGGAAGTCACATCATAGCTGCGGTCAGCTAGCTCTGCATGACTCCTTTACTTACTGGTGGTTATCAGGGAATAAGGGAATATGTGCTATGCAGGGGTTACATGGGGAATATATTCCCTTCTTCCCTACGAACCACCAGTAAGTTTCATGAGGCCGCTGCAAACTCCAGGCGATATGGTCCAGAAAAAAGACGTGGGCGGTCGGTCAAGGCAAAGACAGCCTGCTGAAGGGTAAATTCCACAGCAAAGGTATGTCTTGGGATATATATATATATACTGTGACATGTGCTAGTGTATATATTGGGATGTATATATATATGTACATATACATATACTCGGATACATAATCATTTGGGTATATATTGGGGTATATATGAAGGTGTGTATATGTGTATGTATGTATATGTATATATATATATACACATTGGGACGCATTGGTCCTAGCCTCCGATGCAGCTGTAATCTGCTGAATTCTGGCTGCACAGTATGCTCACTGGTTTTTAATAGGGAACACAGGAATATCTCATACAGGGATTGTAGAGGGCTACATATTCCCTTACTCCCTACTAAGAACCGGTAAGTATCTGTCCACACACAGGCCCAGGATACAGCTCGGACCTGTTTGGGCCTCTACTAGAAGGATTTCTTGCTGAGTTAATGCAGACCCATGATTAATAAACCCCCTCCCTTTAAGGGCATTAATGTTAATCCTTACTAAGGGGAGGGGGTTTATTAACCACGGGTTTGGGTTGTGTGGTTTGGTGCGTCCTCGCCTTGAATCCGAGACCCTTCTCGCCCGTGGCCACAACGCCTTACATGGTCCCAGACCCCCTAAAGGATCCAAAAAATGGAACCCCCTAATAATCCCCTAGTGTCCCCAATGTAGTAATGGGTTCATACTGGGGGTTCCATTTTTAGATCCTTTAGGGGGTCTGGGGTCATCAGTTTGAGTCATGGCCTCAGGTGCTAGAGCTGCCGCAAAACTTGGTGCCCCACGGCCGCCTGGGCCATATTTGGCTACCCCAACCTGCAGCAAGAGCGGTCGAGGCGCTTGGCGTGCAGACCGTCGCTCGGCAAATGGCACCTTCGACGAGTTGCCAATGTCGCAGATAGCTCGGATATCCGCCTCAGCGGTAGGCTGGACGGCGCTTGATGTTTGTGAAGGGACACTTAGGATCACGTGACAAGTGACGACCGAGTGATCGACCTCACGAAATCCTTTCTCATTGCAGCGGAAGATGACCTGTGTGTCTGCAATGTTTGGGCAAGCTGGCAGCATCATGCTCCCCAACCCACGTTGGCTGCGACGTGGAAGCAGCAGAGCTGCAACAAAGTGTCTGCGAAAGGGTGGAGGTATAGGAAGAAGTGGAGAGATAGAGAGGTAGAGAGGTAGAGAGGGGGAAGGAAAAACGTACGCCCCAATATGAACCCCATTATATATACTCCAATAGTTATGTGTCCCTATATATATATATATATACAGTATATATATAAATATGTACATATGTATATATGTATATGTATATGTATATGTGCGTATCAATATGCATAAAGACAAATATCTATCCCAATACTGTATATACCCCACGATAAAGGTTTGGGGAGAGCTGGTGCTGGACCTCGCCGCCGCCGGCCTCTCGCAGCAGGAACTCTGCAGTGGGAGTTGTCACCTGCAGTTTAGGGTTTTGAGTTTAGGGTATAGAGTTTAGGGTATAGGGTTCAGGGTTTGGGGTTTAGGGTGTAGGATTTAGAGTTTCGGGTTTAGGGTTTAAGGTTTTGTCCCTATCCCGCCCCTATATGGTAGACCGACAGCTAACTGACCACGGGGCCGCGGCCTCGTAGGAATTGTCGTCGGCATTCCTGGGATATTGAAGATGCAGCACACGCGTGCGAAAGACCGGGCTCGAGTGGCACAGCTTCAGAGAAATAGGCTGACAGGACTGTTGCAAAGAACTTTCTGGTGGTTTGTAGGGAATAAGGGAACAGAATCCCTATATGGTCCCTATATACTATATCCCCTTATTCCCTACTAACCCCTAGTAAGACAAGAGGCTGAAGCAACTCAAGTTGCCAATGAACATCACTCCCATACCTGGGATAATCGCAGCTGGCGGAGCCCCCAAGTTGAGTAGTGTTCTTCTTGGTGGTTGAACCTAGTAAGATTATATCCCTTATATAAAATTCTATACCCAAAAGGAGGATATAATCTTACTCTATATTGATTACCCTAGTATCCCCAAATTAAATACTACTCAATCTGTGCCTTGGGCCCGCGCAACTCCCCCGCCAAGCGCTTTAACGCCCGGGCGAGGCGTGCGTTTTGCTTTACCTGTCAGACTAGCACCCAAAGGAAGGATGTAATCTTACTCTATAGTCCCCCTTAAGTAGATAGAGTATGGGGACCTTATTATAATGTACCCAAAGCCATATTCTATCTACTTACGGGGGACGATATATTGGTAACTGAATAAGCACTACACAACTATTGTTCAAACATGCCCCACTGTCCCATTCCCACCTGCAGCTCTCCGCCAATCACCTCATCGCCATCAAATCCGAACTCCTCAGAACAAATACCATAAGTGACTTGATAATTAACATAGTCACAGTGACAACAATGGTACAATAGTAATTTTTGTAACAATAGCAATGGTCATACAAATAACAGGAAAAGTAAACATAGCCATCACACGAATTCTGCGGTTCTGCCTTCAGCTGGACTAAGTTGCTACGGCGGCCCTTTTTTCTGCTTCGCATCAGTCTGTCAGCTTACTGGTGGGCAGTAGGGGATAAGGGAATACTATCCCAATATAACCCCTATACAGCCTATACACTATGTTCCCTAACCCTTAACCCTGAACCCTACCCTATATACAATATTATACAATATTCCCATGTTCCCTACTAAGCACCAGTGAGTCAGTCAGTCCCATCACCCCGCTTCTGCCCAGTCTGGGACAGGCCTGATTCTGTCGGGTCAGGGCCACTGAGAGGTTGGCACTCTACTTGCCTGTAGTTGCCCTGGTGCTTGCCTGGTTTAGGGTTTAGGGTCTAGAGGTTTAGGGTTTAGGGGTTGGGGGTTTAGGGTTTTAGGGGTTTAGGGGTTGGGGGTTTAGGGGTTTGGGGGTTTAGTAGGGTATAGGGGTTGGGGTTTACGGCCCTGGTGCTTGCCTCCCTGTTCTTCCGCCAAATCCAGCTCGGCAATGGCCTCACGACAGGGCTGCGATATCGCTCAAAACTGGCCCTCGAACCCTTGGGCTGGCTGTGCAGCGATGTACAATACACAAAGTCAGCAGGAGTGTTTGTTTGGGGTTTAGGGTTTTAGGGTTTAGGGTTCAGGGGCTTTAGGGGTGTAGGGGCTGATGTTGCTCAATTCTGGGGACTAGAGTATCCCCCAATAAAATGCTACTGTGATATTGTGTCACCCAAATCCCCAAAAAATCCACCAGGCAAAACAGTTTCCATGTCAGTTTTCATTGTCTTTTCCATTTGATTCTCCATTGTTGGGGTAGTATCCCCTAAACCGTGCATAGCCCCAATACAGCCCCTAGATCATACCTACAGCATAGGGTAGCTTCCCTAGACCAGGGACCCTAATACACACCCAAAATTCCTAGTTACGGGGTACCCACAAAAAGGTACCCCCAATTTTGGGAAATCACGCTACACCATACACCTTACATCCTACTATATAACCCTATATACGCTAAACCCCCTTTAAAAGTACCCTCAAAGCTGGGAACTTCACCCTGAACCCCTAAACCCTAACCCCAAAACCCCAAAAGCCCTGAACTCCTACTATACCCTAAACCCCTATACCCTAAACCCGTAAACCCCTAGCCCCCTAAACCCTAAACCCAAACCCTTATCCCCTGAAGCCGCCACTATGTGAACCATCCTAGTATCCCCCTTAATCAATAACCCCTGTAGTAATCCCCCATTTAATCCCTTATATAACCCCCCTTTAAGGAGTTGAAACCTTAAACCCTAAATCCTATATACTCCCCTATATATAATCCCTTGTTAAGGAGTTTAGACTATAGCTCATGTGGTGTGACGGGCCTCGAAGGGTAAGGTCTCCCATCGTAGGCTGCGGAAGCGAAGAAAAGCCGAAGCGAGGGCTAGCAGGGCGAGACTTGCCTGGGTTGTTCAAGAAATTTAGGGGGTTTTGGGGTTTAGGGGATAAGGGTTTGAAGTTTAGGGTTTTAGGGTTTAGGGCTTAGGGGTTTAGGGTTTAGGTAGAGACACAAATGGTCAAAGAAAGTGGAAACTGAAATGGAAGCTCGGATTGTACTGGGGTTCTAAAAGCCACCCAGTTGCTACCAAGGGCGCCTCACGAGTGTCACTTAAACGACTCAACAGCCCCACCATCAGCAGCACGTAAATTGCAAGCCCGGCAAAAAGATGCCGCAGGCTTTTCACCCAGAAGGATCCACCCATGTCTGGCTTCTTGGTTTCTGCAAAAACCAGTAGGTAGCCATAAGTGGAGGCTCCCACAGTGCAGTAAAGCCATGCAAACACAAGGATGACTGGGCAGCAGCTTGCGAACACGCTTGCTACAACCAGATGCAGGGAGATCTTGGCCATGCGAGCCCCCATCCCATCGCTGTCCTGATCCTCAGTGGAAACCAAGCACAACTCCAATGCACGAAGCTGAGACGCTTCCAAAGCAGAGAAAATCGGGTTCCCGTTGCCCCCATCCTACAACAGCCCAACCCAATTTCGTAGTTGTGGCTACGGGATACCTCAAGCAATCAGGGTCTGACATGAGGCTGTTATAAGGTGTTGCAGTATCTGTTTCCCCTCCCGTTTTGCAGCGACTGTCCTCTGGCTCACTGGCCCTGCGTGCATCGATAGGTTCTTCGCCACGGACCCTTGCAACAAGGTACTTGGCCAAAGAGCTGGGCCGCAAGAGATCGAAAACGTGCATGAGGCATCCTAGCATTAGATAGTTGATGTAGAAATTCGAAAAGCCAGGGAGGGCATCGGCAAGCAGGTAGATGACCCCACCAGGATGTGCGACCACCTTCTCCAAAACATCCAGGACAGTCCCGACGATGGTGGTGACAAGCAAGACAAAGACCACCTGGAAGGATTCCAAAGTTAGATCTGCTGTACAAGCTCAGGGTAACCCCAACATAATTCCTATATCGTCGCCGCAGCCTTTCCGGGCAATCACAAGACCGACCAAAGAAGGAAGAAACTTAGCTTCACAGGCCTGGAAGGAGAAGTACCAGTCCTATGCACAATGAGCCCAATCTAAGCTCAAAATCTGCTAAGCACGAGCGTTACGGTCACATGCTCTTAGCTCTGTCACATGTACATGTCTTGCCTTGCCCTTCCCTCTTCCCTCTTCCCCTCGCAAGTTCTGTCTTTGTTTGACACTTCTCCATCCTGCTTCGTTTTGCAGGCAGTGGTGGCCCCGTTCCCTCTGTCCAAGACGAACCCGATACCCCTTGGGCAACACAGCCCGACACTTGCCATAAGAGAAAGCTCAGGAGTTGTGGCTGGCAGGCCTGCCGGCGAATCTCACATCAACTTCTACATCCCTCCCAAACCACCCTGACAGCTCTCACAAACACCGCGAACTTTGCCCACAAAGGCAATTCAAGCCCACACAGTCAATTCGTGAGTCGGTCAGCAGGTTAGTGTCAACATCGAAGTTTCGGACTCCCGCCATGCAGTCTGCACAAACAGACTGCTTCCAGCCCTACTGTGACCCCCCCCCCTTCCAAAACGAGTCGTGCTAAGGAATCTCTACGCAACTCGTAACACATTCTTTTTGAGTTCTCCAGGTAGCACATGAGCTATAGTCTGAACTCCTAGTATCCCCCCTTGATTATGTATGACCCCTGCATAACCCTCTGCATAACCCCCTTTTAGGAGTTTAGACTATAGCTCACAGGTCTTTCCATGCACGCGCACAGACAGTGTGGATGTATTTCCCTGGCTGGGCCTGCAGCTTTAGCTGGGCCCATGTCCCAGCTTTAAGAGTCAAGACATTGCTGATGATCGTCATGAGAAGCCTAAGTTGCCGTTAAGGAACTTAAGTTAAGATACCATAATATGGAAACCTCATTTTCTTACTACATACCCCTACTATGGCTCCCTAATTCCTAAACCCTACATGAAGGTGTATATCCATACTATGATAACTCAGTGTAAGTTCCTTAACAGCAACTCAGAAGCGTGGGCAGGAAGGCCATGAATATCTTCAAGGCTCCTGTGCTGAATACCTGGGTTTCGGGGTTTAGGGTAGGGGTTCAGGGTTTAGAGTGACGAGTTTAGGGTTACGAGTTTAGGGCTTTAGGGGTTTTGAGTTCAGGAGGTCTCTCTCCAAGGCCTTGTGACCAACTTCAGGCCAGAAAAGGAGGGTAGATGGGGGTTTCCCAACATTAGGGCTATCTTTCTGGGGTCCGTATAATGAGGATGATAGAATCTTGCGCTCTATTCTGCGGTACTAGAAAAACCCTTGACCCTAAGTTGTTCTGAAATTTCGCTTGAAGGTCTCCTTGCACAAGGTGCTGGACCTCTGGGAAGTCCACAAAGAAGCTGAGGAGAACCGGCTGCACCCGGTCCATGACGGTTGCAATCAGAGGGGCCCAAACCACGAAGATCAGAAACAGCAGCAGTGCAGCTGTAACGTTGCCGGATGCCTTAGAATTCCACGGGATTTTGAAATAGTAACACATTGTAATACTAGTAATAATAGTAATTACAGCAATAGCAATTAGAGCAATAGTAGTAGTAATACCAATATGAACACTAATAGCAACAATGATAGTATCCACAATACTAGTAATAGTTTGTCTACATTTCTTTGAATACTACTGGGAAATGAGACAGTAATCACAATGACAGTAACAGTTTGTCTATATGACGCCATTCGTGCAGTGTAAGCATGCTCACCAAGTTCACCGAGCGGCCTGTACTTGGGGATCCTTTGCCAGATCATAGTAGAGCACGTCTTCCTGGTTTAGGGGTTTAGGGTTTAGGGCTGCTTAGGGTTTAGGATTCAGTGTTCCTGGGTTGCTGTTGAGGCACTTTGTTGAAAGTACTACACTCAGGACTATATCTATGCATATATACTGTATAAGGAACTCAATTACTAGAATAAGGAAACCCCATTATTTGCTCTAAACCCGTATTATTGAAACCCGAAACCCTAACCCCTGTATACCCATGTTATGGTAACTTATTTTAAGCTCCTTACAAACCCTTAACCCTTAACCCCAATCCCTAATCCCTCAAATCCGAAGCCAACACATAAACCCTGAACCCTACACCCTTAACCCTAAACCGCAATCCCTAATCCCTCACATCCAAAGCAAGACATATAAACCCTAAACCCTGAGCCCTAAATAACACATAGTAGCTTACATATACAATCCCTATGTAGCCCCTATAGAATCCTTAAACCCTAAACCCCAAACCCCAAACCCCAAACCCTAAACCCTAAACCCTAAATCCTAAACCCTAAACCCTAAATCCTAAACCCTAAACCCTAAACCCTAAATAATATTTAGTAGCTTCCTTAACACATAGTAGCTTACATATAGTAGCTTCCTTAACACCACCCAGCTTCGGGATCCGGAGGCATGACAGCCGTGAGCTGCGAGGAGTCGGCTCGGTACTGCGGTTGTCGGGCCAGCATACACATCCTCCTGCATCATGTGTGGGTTATCTAGGGATTATAGGGTTTAGGGTTTAGGGTTTGGAGCTTAGGGTTTAGGGATTATAGGCTTTAGGGTTTAGGGTTTAGGGATTCTATAGGGGCCAAATAGGGATTGTATATGGGGTACATAAGGACTGAACAGGAATTATATAGGGGCTGTAGGGGTCATATAGGGATTACATGGGGGATTCTAAAGGGGCTATATATGATGGCTATACGAAGATTACACAGGGGATATAAAGGGCTTATATACGGATTATATAGGGGATAGAAAAGGGTCATATAAGGATCTCCTGCTAGTGAAGGTGACAAAGCCGGAACAGCTGCAAACCTTTGGATCCATTGCCATTACGGCTTCCTCCACAGCCTGTCTCTCCGCAGCAACTGCCTCCCTCAAGGCCGCTAACCTGGGTTGCTTTCAAGGAATTTACTTTAAGATACGATATTATGGGTATATGGTAAAAGAAAAGGCTTCCATATTATGGTAACCTAGTAACTCCCTGGTGTGGAAGCTGACTTCACATCCACCCCGTCTGCAGCAGCAAATGGCATCTGGCGGCCACCTTGTGGTGGGCCCCGTGCGCTGCAAGAGCTCTGCGCAGTGCAGGTTGTATGCGGACCGCTCCATGTCCACGAACAAACGACGCAGGTGGTCCGTGCGCCTCACAATGTAGGCCCTGGCAATGGCATCTGCCGAGAAGAGTCGGGCAAAGTACTGGTGGAGTGCGAAGTCTGACCTGCATTCAGGAGGCAAGTTCTCCACCAGCAAAGTTGTAGCTCTGGGCTCTGGAATCTGTCGCAGCCATTCGAAGCGTCGCTCCAGAAAACGGCTCTGCGCCGCGTGGACTTCGTGCGAAGCCGCAAGGACAACAAACCAGACTGTAGCAGCATGCACCCACATCAGAAGAGTGCGATGCTGGTTCTCCAAGCGATCCAGGGCTAAGCCATTCAGGCTCGTCATGCTGAGAAGGGTGGCGTTGGAAGTGGAGGCGCATGAGTGTAGGTAATAATGAAGTGGGCAAAGCACACAAACGATCACGCAGCTCCACACAACTGTCAGCCTCTGCCCAAGGCGTAAGAGCTCCAGCATCTGCAAGCCATCAAGACCGCACCTGGCGATGACCTCCTCCTCCGGCATGCCACGAAGAGTCCACAGCCACCCAAACAAACCCACTGCCAAGTCCTGCAGGGCTTAGGGTATATTGGGGTAATATTTAGGGGTATATTTGGGTTATTTTGGGGATAATGAAAAATAAAAGGGAAACTACTATAGCCACCCAAACAAACCCACGGCCAAGTCCTGCAAACTCCTTGCGCGCCACCTGGGTGACTCGAGGGACTCGAGCGCTCTCAGCGAGCCATCACCAGGCTCAGCCTCCTCCGCATCCTTGTTGTAAACAGCAGGGGCCAAAACCTGGGTTGCTGTTAAGGAACTTAAATAAAGTTACCATAATGGGTAGATATAGTAGTTAATATGGTTCCCCCAATATAGTAACTTACTTTAAGTTCCTTAACAGCAACCCAGAAACCCGAAGTGCTGAGAATGCCAAGAAGGCTGCCAGGGAGGAGCCTAGGTTGAAGCAGAAAGCTGCCTTCATCGCAGAGAAATCTCCTGAGTTGCTGTTAAGGAACTTAAATTAAGTTACCATAATGGGTATAAATAGTAAATAATAGGGTTTCTCTAATATAGTAACTTAATTTAAGTTCCTTAACAGCAACGCAACCCAGTCTCCCTCAGTGTTCTTCGCAACACCAACTATCCCCGAGGTGGATTGGTTACCCATGGCGAGTGCCAAGAAGTTCTCGATCTTTTGCAGCGTGTCGTTGCCTGCTGTGGTGGACATCACTGGCTGCGTGGTGGTAGATGTGTCACTTTCAGACCGTAGGGTAGCGGAGCTGCGGTTGTCAGCGTTTTCAACCCGCACCGCTAGACACAAAGGCAGCTGAAGGAAGGCGCATGTTATCACGAAGCATCCTACGCGAGCCATTGGCAAAGATTTGATGGACTACGTCGCTCTTGAGCCAACATGATGATTCCATCTGTCATGTGTGACATTCAGCCCTATAGCCAAACCTTTTCATTCCGCTGGCTCCTCGCGGCGGATGGCGGCTACCAGGCCCTGACGGAAGCTTGGAAGCTCTTGAGCTCTTTGCAACAACAACCGATCTCTCGCAGTCTCATGCCTCTGCCCCCTCCGCAGTGGAAAAGCCAAATGCGGACGGTGTGCTTGCCTAAACTGTGGGGCAGAAGCAGCCATGACTTGGTTAAGGTTTTAGGGTTTAGGGTTTGGGGTTTAGGGTTTGGGGTTTAGGGTTTGGGGCTTAGGGTCTAGGAGTTTAGGGTTTAGGGTTAAGGGTTTAGGGGTTTAGGGTTTAGGGTAATTGTACCTCTGATAGCTTTGCTGCCATGCCACGGATGCGCTGCCGGGCTTCGGTTCTTGTCCAGCTGTCACCTGACATCGCGCAGGGCGCAAGCAATCTAAACTGCTCGTGATATTAATATTGTTATTAATACAATATCTTTATTCATGCTGTTACTAACCATGCTTTCAATAGTGCTTTTAAACTGCTATGAATATTCTTGTTGATAATAACCATATAACTATTCTTATTGTTATTAGTATTGCCATTAATATATTCATAAATATTGTTATTTATATTGCTATTAGTCTTGTGATGAATATTGTGCGTCTGGCCTGTGCCGCCTGTGCCGTCAGAGGACGCGTGCTTGCGTTGACCCTGCGAGTTGCCGGCCATGATTGGCAGCATCACAGCAGCCCCAACTGAGCTATAGTCCTATATATATATATATAATAGGGGATTATATAGGGGAATATAGGGATGTATATATATATATAGGGTTTAGGGTTTAGGGTCTAAACTCCTTGATTTGAAGGGGTATTTATGAAAGGGAGTATATAGGGGAGTGTTATAGAGCCTATTAGAGGGGATGATAGGAGTTTAGATCATAGCCCTAAATGCAAAGGTCTGCCAAGGCATGCGTCGCAAGCGTTTGCTCTTTTTTGGGCCTCACTTGCCGGGTAGCAATGAGCTTCTGAGGCCTTGCCCCCTGATCCCACCAGGATAAAGCTTCTCCAGCCAACCGTGGTACAGCCCGAGCCCAATCACAATCAGGACCAGGCCCGCGAGGAACCACCTCAAGCCAGGCAACAGATGCAGTTTCCATAAATAGGAGGACCCCAATACATACCCCAAACTGTTAGAACCCTCATTATTGCAGCCCCCCAATATGGTACCCCTAACTTTGGGAAGCCCTAAACCCAAAACCTTATATAACCCCTCCATAACCCTATAAATCCCCCTATGAACCCCCAAAAAGGTACCCCTGATTTTGGGAAACTCCAAACCTAAACCCAACACCCTAAATCCTAACCCTAAACCCAAAAAGGTACCCCTAATTTTGGGAAACCCTAAACCCCAAAACCCTATATAACCCCCTAAAAGCCTCTGAGGGTACCCCTAACTTTGTTAAACCCCGAGCTGGAGAATCCCGCGCGGCTCCTCGCCTGTCCAGGGGTTCGCCCTTGCCAAGCAAAGGAACATCGCCTCAGATGAAAGACATCAATAGTAGGAACAGTAGTTGTAATTGTAATAGATAGTAACAGTAATGGTAATGGTGACCGTAATGGTGGTGGTAATAGGAATAGGACTCGTAATAGTAATATTAGTAGAACAATACTTCCTGCCGACGGTTCCCATACCTTCCCATTTCAAAGGCCCAAAAGGCTGCCTTAATAGCTTCAACCCGGCATGTGGGGTTTCCCAACATTGGGGGGACCCTTTTGGGAGCCCCTATAATCAGGATTATAGTATTTGGGGGTCTATATTGGGGTCCCCTTATTTAGGAAATTACCATGTCTCACCGCCACCCTCAAGTGGTAGATCCGCGAAGCGAACAAAAAAATGCAGATTTGATGCATGTCCAAGCAACAGGTGGCAAACACCAGCGCGGTCGCAGGCACAGCAGCGGCGACGGACAATGAAACCTTAATAGTACAACTCATAGTAGTAGTACTAGCAAAAATAACAATAATAATAGATATCAATACTAATAATAGAAGTAGTAATAACAATAAAACCAAAAAAATACCAACAATACTGAAAAAGTGCAGTAGCCTGGTTTTATTCAGATTTCATCATTCCATCAGTCCAGGAATGCGCTGCACACACACCTACCAAAATGCTCGGAAGGTGTACATGAGCTATAGGCTAAACTCCTACAGTATATGATCCCCTGTATAAGCCCCTTTAAGGAGTTCAGCCTACAACTCACATGGCATCATTCAGCCAAGGCACCGTAACTGCCGAAGTCGTACGAAGCAGAATCAGCAGCGTCACATTGAAGCCCAAGTTCCTGGGTTGCTGTTAAGAAACTTGATTTAAGTTACTATATCGGGGAAACTCTATTACTATAATATATATATATATACCCATTATGGTAGCTTAATTCAAATTCCTCAACAGCAACCCAGGTTCAGGAAGAGGTAGAGGCATGGCCAGAATGGCTGAGACCTGAACACAATATGCTCTCTGTGCTCAATCTCCAAGGGTATATTGGGGATACTTAGAAGTTATATACAGAATATATCTAGGGGATAATGGAAAAGAAAATGGAAACTACTATGTTATTATAGGGTTCTGGGTTTGGGGGCTTACTCAAGAAATCTGCAAGCATTGGTTCTAGCAATACTCACAGAACTCGGAGTATGTGGGTCATGAGAGGTAACCCAGGGCTTTGTAGGAACTTCTGCCGAAAACAACGCGGCCGCGACACTTGCTGCAGGGAGCATTCAGGAGTATTATACAAAGACTGCTATGACTACTACATAGATTCCGTTCTCCATTCTCTACATGCTAAATGATATTGTAATTTGCATTTTCATTTCCAGCATCCCTATATTCCCCTATATACCCGTGTGTGTGTGTAACCCTATATGACTCTTTGAAATATTCTACCCTAAACCCTAAACCCTGAACCCTAAACCCTAAACCCTAATTGAAGTGTCTTAGGACCAGGCCCAAAGGCCGCGGCACCCTTGGCCAAGTACTGGCCGATGGCGCCCGGCGTTGCGCCCACGCCCTGCAGCGATGCCAGCCTTCATCTTACTAAGGTTTAGGGCTTAGGGTTTAGGCTTTTTAGCTTTAGGGTTTAGGGTTTTGGGGGGGATTAGTAGGGAATAAGGGAATATGCTGGGGTTTCATAGGGAGAATGGAAATACGAAAACTACTATAGTATCATAGGGTCTCTGTATTGGGCTTATAGTAGGGAGTAAGGGAATATAATCCCCATATAATCCCTGTATATCATGTTCCCATTAGTATTCCCTACTGACCTACATTCCCTTCTTCTCTACGAATTCCCGGTAAGTTTGCGCAAGGTGAAAGACTAAGTGGTGGAAGGGACTTGATCACAGAAATACAGGGGAGTTTGGCACTGGAGAATCACATGGAAAATGACGTGACAAACGGGATTGATCTGAGCAAGAGTCTAAACTCGTAGCATCCCGCTAAATAACCTTTATCATAGCAATCCCCTATATAACCCCCCTTTACGGAGTTGGACTCTAGTACATGTGGTAGTTTCCCAAAATAATGGGACCCCAATATAGACCGCAAAATACTATAGTCCGTATTATAGAGACCCCAATAAATGGTACACCTGATTTGGGAAACCCCCATATAGGGGTTTGTAGGGAATCTTTGTTCCTCTCCAGGCTGGTTGGGTCGTGGCAGTGAGGGAATGCATCCAAGACGCAGGGGAAGCATCATGAACACACCAGCAGCCTGGTCACAGGGTTACCATTAGTACTACTATCAGCACTTCTACTTGTAGTATGATTATTGTTGCTACTAATGTTGTTATTATTATGACAATTACTACTATATACTACTACTAGTAAAGTATGAGTATTACTGCTAGTACTGCTTTTTTATGATTATTCTTACTACCATTACTACCATTATTACTAATATTCTAAGTGAGAGGAACGCCGGCGGAGCCTGGAAGGATGAGCCCAAGGAGTTCACCACGAATACATTCCTAGGTTCCCCAGTAACCCATCAAGAATAAGGGTACCCTTTTTCCTACTGTTCAGCTTTAATAAGGAAACCCCAAAGAACCCTAAACCCTAAACCCCAAACCCTAAACCCCAAACCATAAAACCCTTAAAACCCTAAACCCAAACCCTAAACCCTAAACCCAAAGGGAAAAAGGGTATCACTGGGGTAGCTAGAGTCAAATCTTCTCCGCAAGCTCGCTTGGCATCTTTGAAGAGGCCCTCCTGCAGGAAGCTAAAAGGATCCAAAAGATGGAAGCCGCCCCAATACCTCTAAAGGGAGCTATAGGGGTTATATAAGGTTGACATAGGGTGGTTATATAGGGATTTATAGGGTTTAGGAACCCATTACTACCTTGGGGAAACTAGGAGATTATGAGGGGGTTCCTTTTTTTGAATCCTTTAGGGGGTCTGGGTAGGTCTAGCCAAAGTTCGCAAACTTGCTTCACACCAGTCCTTCAGCACGGACCCAAGCGCTGGCAGAGCCAAAGAGACCACGAAGAGCAGCGCAGGCCGTGCAGACACCGCAAAGCCCTCGGAGGATTCCAGTCCGCCTGGTTTAGGGCTTAGGGCAGTTTAGGGTTTAGGAGAAGACAAGAAGGGCAGAAGTCAGATGGTAGGAGCAAGCAAAGGGAGGAAAAGAATCTTAAAGAGAAGATTGAAGGAAAGCGGAGAAGCAATCACAGTAGTCGAAATAGTAGCAGTAATAATCATAATAGCAGTAATACTACTAGTAAGGGTAGTGGTAGTACAAATAATAGTATAGTATTTTCGGGGATCAAGTAGCTCTGGATTTGCGCCTGCCGATGCTGCAATGACGCCAAACACGCAAAAGGCACATCCTGCCAACGCCAGAATTCGGGCTCAAGCTCTCAATAACACAGCTTGCCGAATCTTGTCCTGCCAGTTCGCGAAAACTGTATTTACCTGAAGCTGCAGAAATTTGATGTGTTGGCACACAGTGGAACATCATCTCTCCGGCATGACTATGTACTCTGTTAGACCAAGTAGCGCCCAAGCAAGGTGGACGAGAAGGTCATCTGAAAGACCTCTTTGGGGTTTAAGGTTTAGAGGTTAGGGCTTAGTAGGGTCCCTTTTGGGCTCATAGAATAAGGACGATAGGGCTCAAAGGTCAGGTGCTCCCTTTGTTGGAAATGGTAAAGGAGCTATAATCTAAAATCCTAGTATCCCCTTAACCCTAGATAACCCCCCTTTTAAGGAGTTAGGGACCCGGCCAGGTAGAGCTGACCCAGTACCGGCAGAATGGAGCCTGCCCAGGCCAGCAGCATCTTACTGGTGCTGAAGGGAGAGGGTTTAAGGTTTAGGGTTCAGGGTTCAGGGTTTAAGATTTAAGGTTTAGGGTTTAGGATTTCGGGTTTAAGGTTGAGGGTTTAGGGTTCAGGGTTGAAGGTTTAAGGTTTAGGGTTTAGGATTTAGGGTTTAGGCTTTAAAGGGCTTACTATAGTGATCCCTTTCACAAATCTATGAGATGACTAGATACCCTCCCCCACTCCTCCCCAACTGAAGTACCGAAGCGACAAAGCGGAGCGTTCAAGCAAACCATGAGATCTCTAGACAATGGGTCGTTCTCCAAATTATATGCCCTTTTAGCTACATTACGGATTTAGGGGTAGCAAAATTGGACCCTAATTTAAGGAACTACCCTAAACCCTAAACCCTAAATAGTAGCTTCCATTTTCTTTTCCATCATCCTTATAGAATCCTTATATACCCCTATATAACACAGGACAATATATCCCTAATTTAGGGAACAAGCCTAAACCCTAAACCCTAAACCCAAAACCCAAAACCCTAAAACCTAAAACCCTAAACCTTAAACCCTAAACCCTAAATGCTTAAACCCTAAACCTTAAACCCTAAGCCCTAAACCCCAAACCCCAAATTTAGGGAACTGCCCAAATTCTGCGTAGCCTGGTAGCGCTTTGGCACCAAGCATTCCCAGCAGGAAGGACCCAGCTTCAAGGCATCCTGTTGGATTGGGATTTAGGGTTTAGGGATTTAGGGTTTAGGGGTTAGGGTTAAGGGGTGTAGGGTTCAGGGTTTAGGGTTTGAGGTTTGGGGTTTAGGGTCTAGGATTTAGGGTTTAGGGTCTAGGGTCTAGGATCTAGGGTTTAGGGTCTAGGGTTTAGGATCTAGGGTTTAAGGTTTAGGGTTTAGGGATTAGGGCTGTGGTATGT